TTTTTGTTAAACAATTTTCTTGCTTTATGAAGAACAAGAAAAAGAGACAACAAAGAAAGGAGAAAAAAAAATTCATTGCTATGAATGTGGAAAACCTGGTCATATCAAAACAGACTGTCCGAAACTTAAGAAAGATGTGAAAGAGAAGAAGAAAGAGAAGAACGATACCTATAAGAGCAAACACAAAACTTATATTGTTTGGGAGGATAATGATTCTTCCACAACACAAGAGAGTTCTTCCGAAAGCAGTGATGGAGAAGAAGAAACAAATCTTTACTTGATGACAAAAAGTGATGATGAAGCCTCATCATAGGTAAGTAGTACAAATTCCTTAAATGAATATGATGAGTTATTTAAAGAATACCAAGATATGTATGAAGATTTTACCAAGTTATCTAAGAAATACAATGCTCTTAGGCAAAAGTTTAATGCATTAGAAAATACTGTTGGTATTCTTGAAAAAGAAAATGAGTACTTAAAGAAAGATGTTGAGAAATTTAAAACTTTGTCTAAAAATAAAGAAGTTGCTAAACCTTGTGAAAATTATAATCTTTTGGAAAATGAGATTTTCAAGTTAGAGAAAATAATAAGCAAGTTTTCAAAATCTTCTGAAAATATTGATTCTATATTAGGTTATCAAAGAGGGAATTCTAGCAAAGCTGGACTTGGTTACAAACCCAAAGAAAGTCTAGAACCTCATAAAACTATTTTTGTGAAAGAGTCAAGGAAAACAGATGTAAAACCAGTTTCAAAAACTTTAAGAAACTCATTTAGACCATTTCAAAGAAAACCAACATGTTTTTATTGCATGAAATTAGGTCATACATCAAATAGATGTTACATAAAACATTTTGGCATATCTAATGACAAATATGAATGAGTGCCTAAAACATTTTACATGAACCTAGATTTGTATGTTGATGTTGCAGGTAATTATCAAGGATAAGAAATTAATGCAGGTTATTGAAGTTAAATGGGTATACAGGAACAAGCTAGATGAACAGGGAATTATTACAAAGATAAGTTTATGATTGTCTCTCAAGCCTCTATATTGAATATCTGCTCTTATTTGTCACATAAATTTGATTGTTGACCAACTTTGAAATTTGAAAGTTTGAATTTTGAAAATTTGAATTGATGAAAATTTGAAATTATAAAGTTTGAAATCTTGTAGTTTGAGATTTTTGAAATTTGAAATTTTGCAATTTGAGATTTTTGAAATTTGAATTTGAAATTTGGGATTAGAAATTTGGGATTAGAAATTTGAATTTGAAATTTGGAATTTGTTGGAATTTGAATTTGAAATTTATTGCAATTTGAAATTTGAAATTTGAAATTTGAAATCTGGAATATGAGTGCATTTGAATTTGAAAGGGGGAGACCTCCCCAATGTGAGACTTGTTACATGTTTCCTTGATCATCATCAAAAAGGGGGAGATTGAAAGCAATGAGGGGGAGATTGATGGAAATGTTCCTACATTCCCAAGAGATGATTTTGATGATGATTCAAGTCAACTACATTCAAGTCAACACCATTCAAGATGAATTAATGACAAGCTGAATTTATGACGTTAGTGAAAATGTGAAACATTTCCCTACATGCCCAGGATATGTTTTTGATAAAGATGATGATTCAAGCAAGCCCAAGGTTATTCCTTAAGACTAGATAGAGTCTTAGAATACTGGATATGAAGATACAAGTTGATGAAGTAATATTATGCATAAGCCTCCAAAGCACAAGTATGATAAAATTCATAACATGATATTTTTCTATGTCATAATCAATTATGATGCATCAGAAATGGAAAAATGATTTTTTTCTGTCATAATTGATTATACTGGTAATATAATCAATTATGACAATTCAAATTTGAAAAATATATCCGTTTTAAAGAATAAATATTTTTTAACACATCCTGATTTTCTCTATGATATTATTAATGTCCAACGGCCATTTTCTGATACTATTTTTCTATTTAATTAGGTTTTGATAAAAAATCAAAAATACACAATTACAGAATTCGAAAATACAATTTACATTCAATCAGTTTTGAGAAAAGAATTCTGAGCAAGACAACAGAGATATTTTACACATTCTGAGAAAACCCTTTTCTCTACTGCCTTCTGTGCTTTCATTGTTAATCACACTTGTTCTTAGAGATTGACATTATACAGACTTCTACAATTTGTTGTCTCCATTACCCAGGTGTGTCTATTCTTATTTTTATTACCTTCATCCTTTGTGTATTGGTGGCAAAGGAGGTGTTTTCATCCTTTGATTTGTTCAAATGAGCTTTTCATCCCTAGTGTGATTTTAGGGATGTGTTCATCCTTAGTGGGATTCTAAGGAGGTGTTTTTCATCCTTTGATTTGTTCAGAGGAGGTGTTCATCCCTAGTGGGATTCTAGGGAGGTGTTCATCCTTAGTGTGTTTCTAAGGAGGTGATTGTCTTTTTAATTAGTTTACTTTTTACTGGTTCTTCTGCTGAGTTGATTGTAATTTGTAAACTGAATTTGAAAGATAGTGAGTGGGGAGTCACTCTTGTGTTAAGAGTTGACTGAGAACTGGATGTAGGGTTGGTTATACTCGAACCAGTATAAATCTCTGTGTGCTCTTCTCTTTCCCTTATCTCTTTCTCTTTTCCTGATTATATTATTGATTCCACTTTATCTGTGTTCAAACAAATTATTGACTCACAAATAAATTTTTAATTTAACATCTATTTTAATTTGTGCATCTATTCACCCCCTCTAGATGTCATTTGTCTAACACATTGGTTTGTAGGTTGTAAGTGGTTCTCCTCTGTTGTGTGGTGGTGGTATTGTAGTCATGGTAGTGTTGATTTGTGGTGAGTTATGGGTGGTGTTAGAGTTGTGCTTGGTGTTGTGGTGAGTTTACATGTGGTCTTTGTGGCCAGTTGGGTGGCAGAGATGTTGTTGTTGGTGTGGGTGATGTTGTCGTGAGTGGAACGTGTGGTGTTGGTGGCGTTACTAGTGAGTTAGGTGGTGGTGGTGGTGTTGTCGTGGGTTTATTGTCATTGTGTTGGTTGGGAGCGTTGTTGGTGATGTTGTTACTGTTGGTGCTTTGGAGAGTTGTTGTGGTCAATTGTGTGGTGGTGGTAGTGTTAGGTGTGGTGTTGGTGAGTTCTTTTGCGTTGTGTGGTGTTGGTAGCCCTAGTGGTGGCACTGGTGGGTAATGTTATTGCTAGTGAATGATTTCAAATGATGTGTGGTTCACTTGAATAGGTAAGTTCATTGACTTAATTATAGTTTAATTTTTATGATTATGATTTGATTTTGCTTATTATTAAGATTTGTATTAAAAATTTTGTATTAAAATTTTTTGCATACAGCTTTAGAAGATGAGTGTTAAAAAAATTTTGTAGACAAATAACAAAAATTCAGATTATGATTAGAATATGTTTTAAGTTAAAATATGTTTTAAGTTAAATTGTATTTAAAATAGTTTGTATTAAGATTATAATATGTTTTAAGTTAAATTATGATTAAAATAGTTTAGATGAGATCAAATGTAGTTTTTTTAAGTGAGTTAGATTAATTATACAAATATTTTATTTAGGTTAATATAAAATATAAAATTAAATTAGGGTTAAAAATTATTGTATTTAGATACATATTAAATATAAAATTTAATTTAAAAATTATTGTATTTATGTAAATATAAAATATTAAATAAAAAAATTGGATTAGGTATATATATAATATTAAAAATTAGTTAACATGTAATTTATTATAAATATGTATATATTATATTATTTTAATTACAATTATAATTTGAATTATAAAATATTACATTAAGCGTTGTAAAATTAATAATATATTTTAAATAATAGGATCTATTTTTTAATGGATTTGTAAAATAACACATGAAAATAATTGGACATAGTTTTTTTCTAATGTTTTTGGTGAAAACTTTGATTTAATTCAATACATATAACAACAAATAAAATTTCATACCAAAATAGCAGTAGTGATTATCCTTTACATTGTTATTTATGCACTAAATGTATTACGCCTCTCAACTTCAAATATTCTGGAGTTTATTTTCCAATGAAAATGTCGTCGGTGAGAGTTGTTATCTACTTAATGCACACAAAACAATCGCATGACATTATTTAAGTTGAATTTCAAGCATAATTACGTTATGTAAATGATTAAGGACAACTAGATTAATAAAAAACATATTTGGATTAATCGTGCTCTTTAAACCCAAATAAACTTTGAATTTGATACAAAATATATAAGATAATTTTAAATAATAAATGAATGGAAGTTGTTAAGTAAAATAGTCAAACCAATAATTTATTAGACTTTTCATCCAATAAAATGTTGAAACACTCATTCAATATAGTGTGATACTTATTATACTCTTAGCCTAATAGTATATTAGATGTTGCATGGTTTAGCTCAACCTTAAATTGATATAATTAACAAGAATACAACCTATCAATAGTTTTTCATACAACCATCTAATTTCATTAACGTTTTCTTAAACTTGAATATAAAAAATATACTTTTACCAATAGATTTTAAGAGCACTTCGAAGATAGAAGAAATGAGTTTGTGCTAGAACTAAAAATTAAATTAGCAAAATTGTTTAAAAAAGATTTTGCGATCGTAATCGATTGAAAATCATAACAAAATATAACATATATAATAAATATTGAAGTTAGGAAAACTCTTTTGAATGATACCATCAAAATAATTTGAAATTTCTAATAATAGATGATTTCACATGTTAATATTTTTTATTTATAAAATATATTTATGCATTTAAATTCCTATCATTGACATGTGCCTGAAAATTACTGTCTTATGTTTCTATACTTGGATGAAGTTTGAAATCTGTGGCAGAAACTATAGATTAGAAACAACATAAGATAACTATGTTCTGAAAATTCTTCTCATGTCAAAAACATACTAGCATAAGTGCAAGACCACTTGTGTATAACTAACTTTATGAAAATTTTAGAGTGAGAACTACCACAAGTAAAACGGTTCTGTTCCGTAAGAGGAAATGGGAAAATAATCCTGACTAAGTGCATTTTCTGAAATGAACGGTTCGGTCCAGAAATTGCTACTGAACCCTAAATCCAATGTTTCCAACGAAGCAACACTTGCTTCTTCCTTGCACATGTTCAAGTTTGATTCGGTGTGACTAGAGGAGAATGAAAGTGAAGGGGAATTGTGATCGGTGTAGGATGTTTCTGAGGAAATTGACACTGAACTCTCCAAAATGTGGTGACATTCAACACTAAGAGCCTCGTTTACTGGACTTTCAAACTCTTTGCATCCACTGGACGTCAAATCTTCATCACAAGAGTTGTTCATGTTGCTCTTCAGGAACTTCTTTAGGTGGCTGTGCCAATAGTTCTTTATCTCATTGTCTGTTCTTCCAGGTAGATTTTCAGCAATCAAAGACCATCTGCAACAAAATTTTACACCAAATACAAAATCAGTAAAATATACCCTCTATTCACTGACTTTTCATTATGATTGAACACCATTTGATCTCTTTAGTTGCGGTGGAAACTATTGATCAAACCAACAAAACTACATAACCAGGTTACTTGGTTTTAAAAAATACAAAACCTTTCTACACTATCATTGAGGCTGTTACCATTGTCACTGTATAAATAAATTTTAACCTTTTGACTCATTATGGACAACATTTTCAAAATGTCAAAACTGATGACAAAATTGCAAACTAAATTTAAATCTTGAAAATTAATAAGAAGCGACAAAACCCATACTTATTGCCATGTTTTTTATGCAAATCCGTGATGATTTGCTCTTCTTTGGGGGTATAGTTCCCTCGTTTTAGATTTGGTCGCAGGTAATTCATCCATCGAAGTCTGCAGCTTTTTCCACATCTTTGCAACCCTGTTACAGAGAAGAAAAGTAATGAAGCAAAATTAAAAATCATGAATGAAGAAACTCGAAATTGATGATTTTGTGATCTCATGATTGATGAGCAGTAATAAACCTGCAAACTTTGGAAGTTGACGCCAATTGGGATGGCCATGTTTCTCAACATAAGCAATAAGCTTCTTATCCTCTTCCTCACTCCATGCTCCTTTCTTTGTTCCATTTTTATCAAAATAAGGAGCCCTTACCATGGTGGTGTTGGAATATCTTTCTTTCTCTGAGACCAAAGTTAAGGTGAAAAGCAAAAGAAAATTGGGTTCCTCTGTTTTGATACAGGGCACTTGAAACGCGTATCATGTGTTCTGACATCTCCAATCATGGCTCAGAACTTATATAATCGAAAGATGGACCCACTTGCATTTTATCAAGACTGCTTGTGAACACAGTTTTGCATCCTTTCGCATGAGAAAGAAAACAGTGTCCAAAGTATCCACAACTTCATTTCTTCTTGTTACAATTCTTTACGGTATCTTATGGAAAAATTGTCCTACATCCTTTGAAAGATTTATTATAATAAGAAGAAAGGAACTACTGAATGTGTTCATCTTTAATCTCATCTATGAGTGTGAAATAGTTTTCATAGTTTTCATTTAAAGCATGAATATGCAATTTACACATGGTGTAAAAAAATTTAATTTTCTACTAATGGATAGTTATTTAAAGTAACATATGTTTTTAAAAAATAAATTTCCTTCACTGAAGTTAATACACTGTACCATTTATATTTTCTTATGGCAGGTTTTGACGGTTAGTTTAGGAAGAAAAGAAGAGAGGATGTTTCAGAAAATTTAAATGAATAAACAATTTAGACCCAAATATTTGTAATATGAAAACATTTTAATGAATTATTAATATGTTAAATCGATAGTGTATTATGAAGTCCTTTTAATGACAACCTTGTTCCTTAATTTGTTATCTAGTACAAATCATCATTTAAAATACTTCATTTATTATTAAAAAAATGTTAAGCGTATTAATTTAAAGAGAACCCTAATCAAATTGAAAAATTTAGTTTATCACGCATAAATTTATTTGTAGGATATTTATAATGGTTAGAAAAGTACTTATATATAAAATTAACAAAATCAAATGACACAGCATTAGAAAGAATAACAGAGAAACAACAAACTACAGAAATAAACAAGAGTAAAAAAAGTAAAGAATAAAATAAAAAATGAATATCAGTGGACTATGATTCCAAATGTTAAACTTTACATAAAGGAATGTAAAACCAATACTTTTATATTTTTTTAAAATGGAATTATAGTGTATGGGACCTATTTTCTATTTGCATTTTTATGCACTATGGGTCCTATTTGTCAAGGTCATGATTCATGGAAAGTGCTAGAGTATTTAAATAGTTTAGATCATTTATAATACAATATCTCACTTACCTTATTTTATGTTTTGCATTTGGCATAATTCTTCTTTTAGAATATAACTTTTATTTAAAATTTTCAGGAAACACTCTTTTTAACAAAATAAATATCAAACTTAGTGATCAATTTGAAGAAAAAAATATATAGGATAATAATTTATTATAAATTTATTTATATTTCAAAACACTCACTTATTATAAATATTTTTTACATAAATAAAATATATATGATGTCGCTAAAATTTTAGGTAATGCTAATAGCTAAAACTTGTTAAGTCATATTATTAAATTATAAACATTTGAAGAAATTGTTTGATAAATTTATGTTTATATGATATTTTATAAGATAGTTTTAATAAAAAGTCGTTAATAAATAAAAATATACTATTCTGTTAAAATATATTTATTTTACTTTTCTTTAATTATCATGTTTATTCAGCCACACTCTTAATGTAACAAGCAAAAGAAATCATTAATGTAAGATTGTGTTCTTTAATTTTTTATTTGTTACTGTGTTGACTTTTTATTCGCCAGTATTATTATGTTGACTTTCAGTTTGAAAGTAATTTCAATTTCTTCATGGAGTCACATATTATTATACTTCACAATCAATGTTTTATTATTTTCATAATAAATTCAGTCACATAATTGGAACTCAATTAGATTGGTTCATATTATACTTTTTTACGATCTGAAAAATTATTTTAGTTTACATGTTTGTATTTTTGAAACTTTTATATATATAATTTGAAGTGAAACAACTTTTGTAATTCAATAACTTGAATTAGACTATTTATTGTAAAAAAGCAAGTATATAGGGATTTATTTACCTTTTGTCGAGCCCAATGTGAGTCAATAAAAACAAATTAGGTGGACTCACTTTAATCCAAGAACACTAATTTTGAGGGTGGTTCAATGTGTTGGAGACTGAAAATGAAATACACCACACACGGTGGAGAAAGCAGAATCTTTAATTTTTCAAAAAATCTCAAACAAGAAAATGGAATATCGAGTTTAAAAAGAAATAAATTTGATCAAAATATGGTGATCGTGAATATATGACAAAAACACTGCTTTTATAAGTAAAAAAAAAAAAAAAACATCAAAAGATATATGCTATGGAATTAATGGGTTGATTTCATGAGATAACGTTAGCACACTACGTCATAGTAGTGACGTCAGCACTTAATAAAGAAGAGGATAAAAAGTAGACAGCTCTTACTTTAATAAATAATATTATTGTGTTTATATTATAAGAATTCTCAGATTCTTACGTGTCTCACGCTATAAAAGAAACATTGTGCGCATCAAACAATATTGGAATTTAAATTAATATATTTTTATGCAGTTTTGGTTTTTAAAGTTATTGCCTTTATTTGGTTGGAAACAATATTACAAACTAGAAATTCAACTAAAATTTTGAATTTATTATCCTTATATAGTCGTTTTTGTTTCGTGGTAAACTCTGTTAAATAACACCATTAGTTAATTAAATCTTATTATGTCTAGTAATTTATTCTTTATTAGATGTTAGATAGTTTTATTATTCAGTTAATATTTTTTTTACATTTTTTTTGTTATCATATTTTTTTATTATTTAGTCTCACGTTTAATTATTTATATTTTAAATTTGGATCAGTTTATTTACTTAATCAAATTAGATAAACATTGTCAATAATTTTAATATTTTAATATAATGATAATTAAAAGTACTATAAAAAATATTTATTGGTTGCTGGCTTTTTCATACACATAATTAACGTAATTTTATTTTAATAATTGTTATAATCTTAAAAATTTATTATTTTTAAAATAGTTATAGTTTTTAAAATAGTTTATAATTTTTTAACTTTTTAGTTTTTAAAAACTAAAAATTTATAATTGATTAAATATTTTTTTATTTTTAAATATATTCACATTTTTACTAATAATTATATTGTATAGTTTATAATTATCACATGTTAAAATATTTTTCAACTTCCTTCGAAATTGTATTTAGTTATTAATATTATCCTTTTATATTTAAAACTCTCTTTTTTTTTGAAAATAAAGTATTAAAAAAATTAATTATTTTAAAATCAATCTAGAAAATTATTTTTAAAAAAATCAAACAAATATAATTTTTTTTCTTTACAAAGAAAGTTTGAAAATGCACAATTTCTCTTGTTTATTTCCATGAATTTAAAAGTTGATATATATATATATATATATATATATATATATATATATATATATATATATATATATATATATATATATATATATATATATATATATATATATATATATGCATGTGTCTAGACTGATGCATGCGATCAAAATACCATGAAATATGGATCATGATGATGAACTGTGCTGTAGAAAACATGTCTCCCATTTATATATAATTTTGAACCAATTTACTCTTCCTTTATCTTGATTAACATGAAACACTCTTGTTGTCTGCTCGACCTAGATCCTTACCATTAATTGCAGAAAACATGGAACCAAATTATAAATAAAAGATATATTAGATTTTGTAAGACATGCTATATTCAAATATTTATACTTTCCAAAATTTAACTGTTAACTATTCTATTTTACCAAAAAAAAAAATCCATCTCTATACAGAAAATACTTTTGATACAATATATTTACTATAAAATCTTTATTATTTTTTAGTTTAATTGTATAAAGAATATATTTATCAATAAATCACTAATTAATTATACAAGTAAATTTAATATTACACTTAATTCAAAATTTTATTTCGGTGGTATGAGTTTTTTCACTCATGATACAAAAGATTCTTATGTAGGTTCATAATCTATATCTATATATATATATATATATATATATATATATATATATATATATATATATATATATATATATATATATAAAAGATTCATTGTAATTTTTTCTCTCATTATACAAATAATTTATATTTTGATGTCTTCTATGGTGTCTTTTTTTTTTGTTGTTAACCATATTTTAAGAGATTTCAACTTTCTATTAAGTCTTGACAAAAGTAAGATATGAGATAAATGTTTGTACATTTATATGTACAAATATATGAACTTTATAAGTTTATATTATTTTTATATCAGAAACAATTATTACAATTGATAAAAAAATTTCTTCTAACATTATCTTCCATCTTGATGCTTCCATCTATTTATGTTGATATTTAAGTTGTAAGGAAGTGAGAATAATTATCATTTAAAATAATACTATCTTATAATGATATATAAAATATATTTTTCAACTTCCTCAACTTATTTCATTTATCCAATTTGAAGATTTAAATTAAATTTGTAGTTACTAGTCGGGATAAATGAGTCCAATTTTAATCACTTTCTCGGTTATATTTACTCATTTCAATCCCCAAAGTCCAACCTCCCTCTACAATATCATCAAATCTTTATAAAATAATAATATAAATATAAATTAATAAATAGGACCAATACATAACTGGAGATAAAATAAAATAAACAAACAAGACCAGTACATAATTGAAGATAATTAAAATAGGATCAAACTGGAGATAAAATAAACAAATAGGACTAGTACGTAACTGGATATAAATAAATAAGATCAGTGATAAAATAAAATAAACAAACAAGACTAGTACATAATTGAAGATAATTAAAATAGGACCAAACTGGAGATAAAATAAACAAATAGGACTAGTACGTAACTGGATGTAAATAAATGAGATCAGTGCGTAACTGGAGATAAAATAAACAAGCATAAAACAAGACCAGTACGTAAGGAGGTAAATAAAATATAAAAAATAAATACAATGGGGTTAGAAGCACCTCACTCCACAAT